ACTTCAAAACGGAACACGCCCGAGTAACGCATTTACAAAAATCACGACTTCGGAGCCGAACACGCCCGAGTAACGCATTTACAAAAATCACTACTTTTAATTTGACTCGAAGCTAGTGACGCCATTACATATCTCGTCACAGGTGATTGTAACTAGTGACGTGAAATAACGCTCACGTCTAGTAGACAGTCGTCTCGCGTGAATTCGAGGTTCTGCTCGTTCGGACGTAATTTTCAACTTTATCATTTATTATTTGTGAATATATACTGCACCGACTAGAATAAAAAAAATATTGATTTTCAAAATCAAATTGACCCGAGCGCCCACCGGTGAGAGTGTTAATAACTACTTAATTTTTATTTCTGGCAATATTTAACATTGTCAAAGTTTTAATTTGCTACAGACCTTTTAATTATATTTACACTTTTTTGTTCTGTACAGCCCCGAACAAACTGAATGAGTGCTAAAATATAATATGTTGATTGTTTTTATACTTCCAAGCGCCGGTGCGTAGTAATTTGTTCTTGATATTTTGATTGTAATTCTCGCATAAAACTGCAATTATATAATGGAGAACGACATCAACAAACCTTATAAAATCTGTGATGTTAACCGTGACAAAAAGAAGGGTACTGTAGCTTCGTCTTTGGAAGATCTACTTTCAAAAGTTCCCGAAAAATTGGGCTTACCTACTGAAAATTTGACAGTTGTTCTGGAATGTGACGGTACAGAGGTAGACGACGAGGAATACTTCTCAACACTAGATCCCGATACCGCACTCATGATATTACACGGTAATGAAAAATGGGCCCCGAATATGCCCAAGTGTCAAGTTTCGCTAGACCAGACAGACGAGGTGACTCTAGGAGAAAAGGGACAGGTCGCGAATCTTGTAGGAAGACTACAGCATAATCTTTGCCACATCTCATTACTTGGAGGACAAGATCTGGAGCTACTCTCAGATATGGATCCAGATAGCCTTGCTGATATTGTAACTGACCGGGACAACCGAATCATTTTGGAACATATTAAAGAAGCTTCTGGAAGGTAAGCTAATATAACACATAATATTTAAGTTACTAAAACAGTGTGTATGTTAATTTTGTCATTTGGCTAGTCATACAATAGTCCCTTTATCTTTATCTCATTTGATATCAAATTTAGATTATAAAATTGGCTTAATTAATTCTACACTTAATTTCCTACTCACATTTTGTGTGAACTGCTATACTATATACCTAATAATTTGACAAAACTGTAATATTGAAACATGATTTATTCTGCTATATTTCAAGGTAATAAATTTACATAGTTTATACAGAATTGGATTTTAAATTAATAATTTTTCTTTCAGGATACTTCTAGAGAAGCGTCAAGCACAAGATGCTATGGAATTACTAAAACTGTATCATCAGAGTGTATCAAATGGCAATGAAGATGTGTCACCACCGAGCCAGGAGAGAATTTAAAATCATCAATGCAATCTCAACCTCAACAGTGTCCTACTAATCTGACCCTATATATTTATTTCTAAGGGATGGTAAATCTCAAAAGTTTACAAAGAACTTTTCTTATTTTAGGCTCCCATGCTTGCAAATAGTTCTATACAAACTGGCAAAAAATGTAAAGGTATGGTTAAATAAAATTACTATTTAATATTAGTTATAATCATTATTATAAGATTTCAAATAGATTCATTGAATACACCAAAATATGAGGCCTTTTTCCATGTAAATGCTATTACAAAATGGTTGCAATCATTGTTACTTTTATAGACTCATGAATTGAATGCATAGTTTTTAGGTAAGAAGCTAATCTTATGAATATGAGCTAATATCGGATAATCTTAAAACATTCTAAATAAACATGTAGATTATATTAAAGTTAATCATTGTAATATCATAAACTGTTAGCATGTATACTGAATTATTCACCTAATACAATTCAACAGTATTACTTAAACAAGTTCCATTTTAAGAGTTAAAAATAATATTTGAATTGAATATGCCATGTGTTAATAGAAAGGTAATGTGTTAGGTACTAAGATTTGTAGACATTGTGAAGGTATTGCTGTAATTAATATTTTTTAAATTGTCCTGTTTTGGTATGTTACACCAATTTTTAATTGTAATTTAGTACAGCTATAAAAGTATGTTATAAAATTGTTTAAACCCCTTGTAAAAACGATATTTATGTGATTAATCCTTTGTTTGTGGTACTGTATTAGTTTTTATCTTTTATTTTAATTAACTTTTTAATTCTAGTGAATAACAAATGGTAAAGCTTCGTGTTTAAACCCCAGGATTAGAATAATATTTTATAAAACAATGTTTTTATATCTCATCTTTTGTATTGTATTTATATTCAATCATGGATTTTTATATTAGTTGCCTATTTCATTTTAATAATTAATATTTGTATTTCATAGTTTCATTTAAAATATTTTGCTCCTCATTAAATATATTTTACTGAATGAATAGGACATTCACTATGTTTTATTATTTCCAGAGATAAATAATTTCATTCAATATTTAACTATGTAATTGTATTTTAATCCTTGGTGTAAACTATAAATATGTTAGTAATAATTTTAAGCATTTTGTTAAATTGCTTAAGTAGATTCTACTTGGTAATTTGTTGTAATAACTTAATACAATCTTACGATAAATACGATATAGACAATAGATATGATTACTAGTTATTAATCATGCTCCAACTTGTCTATTTTTTTCTAGCATTCAGTTTGTTATTTTTGTAAACTTTTGAGAGACAAATTGCTACAAGGTTGATAATCAACATCAATTTAAAAGACTGATAGTTGGTAAATTTATTTTTTTTATATAGTTTTACCCCTAGAGTAAGATTAATTCATTTAATTCCAAATTTGCTCAAACATTTTACAAGTATTAAAATAAGTTTCACTTATGTTCTCCACTGCCACAAACCAATATAAATTAATATCCTTATTGATTAGGGATATAAGTGGACTGTAGGAATTGCATGTTGAGAATTACCTTAAATAGTTATCATATAAAAATATTTGCTTTAGGATTATTCATTTGTGATATTAAATAATTTGTTTAGCACAAATGGCATATAACTTTAATATAATTTAACTTTGTAATGTAAAGCTTATTTAAAGAATCTGCACCTAATCAAATGTAATCGGCACATTGTAGCTACAAAAACTGTAAACTCATATATGAGATTAAAATTGAAAATAAACTATTAGTATGGTAAAAAATATTTTAATTATATAACTTTTACATTATTATGCAGTGTTTATTATAATAGTTTGGTCTGAAATTGCATTTTTTTGTCAAAAGCACTTAATATAGAAATTCAATCACAAATGAATGTGACGTAACATTTTTAGTATATATGTATAGTAGTATAATAATCTTATAGTTGCTACCAAAATAACACTTATTATAATCATGTATGTTAATGTAATACCAATTTAGTTTTTTAATGTACCTTACCTAATTGAAACTATTCTCATGCTATTTGCTAAAAACAAAATAGTATTTGCTTACTATATGTAGTTATGTTAGTAAAATAGTCTTGACTTGTTTTTTTATGTGTTTATATTTATTTATAAATGCATTATTATCTGTACTGGCAATACCAATTTTAGTATATCATATTTTTGTTTGTAATTTTCAACATCAAAAATGTTATTTTCATTATTATACATATTTAATTTAACTGTTTAACAGAAACTAATTATGTACAATGTTGTTTGGAATTGATAGTTTTTCCGTGCACTAATACACTTTCAAAACAAATATGGTGTTTTATTTAAATAAAAGAATAGTATAAAGTAAACTTATTTATTTAGTGACACATTACAGGGAAATGATCTTACGCAAAACAATAACATCCATGTAAATGTTTATAAGCTTTTCTTTTATAACAAAACAAATATAATTAAGTTTTAATCTGTATCAGAAAAATTAAAACATTTGAAGATGTACATATAATTAGGAAATTTTACATAAATAGTATGATAGCAAACATGATTACTACAGCACAAATAATTCTTAAAAGTAAAATGTAAGCTTAGAGTACAGTGCAAGAGCTTTTTTCACGGAAGGGATTGACTTTTTGACTGGAAAATCCAACAAGTAAACAGTCCTCGTTCTCATGATCGTCAATGTATCTGACGATATCTGCCACCGCCACGGAAACGGGAATACGTTTAATGGCAGCTTCCCGTCTAAGCTGTTCCGTGACAGCACGCTGCTGTTGCAAAGTTGATACCATCATATCCATTACGGCGGTGTCTGATAGGCCTATGTTGAAAGCGAAAATAAACAGTCCAGTTAGTACAAGATAGGGCGTAGCCTCCAATAATCGATCACCTGAAAAGATGTATTTTTCATTATATCATTTATTGCACATTTTAAATAATTAAAAAAAAATTGCAAATCAAATATCTCAAAATGCAAGAAAAAGTATATACTCACCTAATAAATAAGATTCTGGAAATTATCAAAACCACGGCCCTGTTTTTCCTTGATTTTGACAGTTTCAATGTTGCAATACTTCAGCAATTTTCATAAAATATTGGTGGTTGAATATTCGCTTTCAGCTGTTACCCAATAACTAACGAATCAAATGATTAAAACACTCCACTTACTAGTGTAAAACTTAAGGATTTCTTATATACACCAAATTCAACAACTGCTTCAACTCAGCAGGTACTCGGTCTATCGTACCAGAAATAATTGGTACTGATTTCGGTATGGCTTTTTGACGTTATTCTTTGTCTTTTGTACATTGCAATACTAAATTTAGATGTCAAAACTCTGGAACTCCTTGGAAATTGCAGAAGTCTATTTTAACTTCAAAATTACGAACGAAATCTGATTACAATGGAAGGCGATGGTCCTACTTCTTCGAAAACATTTTCAGGAATTCCGGAAGCTATTTTTGTAGTAAGTTTATACGTGTTTAATATAATTCTTGTATGAATAGTGAACATTAGTTTTACATTATTTCATTCTTGTTAAAATACAATACTGAGAGGTTACAAAGTGTACACCTGGTTTTTAATTTAATAGTTTTTGTTTAAAATAATAGTGTAATAATATTCGTACTAATAAACTAATATCGGCATAAGTGTGAATATTAAATAAAACTAACAAGAATTGATTAAAACTTTTGTTTTAGGATAATGTTGATGAATTTATGAACCAATCTGAAAACTCTGGTGGGGTAGATAAAGTTTTAAGAAGACTTGACGAGCAACATGCAAAATACAAATTCATGGAAAGTACTTTGGCTTCAAAGAGGAGACGTCTACGTCAGCAATTACCTGATCTGGCCCGTTCATTAGAAATGATAGAAAAGTTGAAAGCTCAAAAAGAAGATATGGAAACTCAGTTTCTTTTGAGCGATCAAGTTTTTCTTAAGGTATATTACATTTATTGATATAAGCATATATTTATGTAAGTCTTATGATACATTAAAAGTACAAAAAAACTATGATAATTAAATTTTCAGGCAAATATAAAACCAACAGAGACTGTCTTCTTGTGGCTAGGAGCTAATGTTATGTTAGAATACTCTCTAGAAGATGCTGAAAACTTGTTAACAACAAATATGGCCACAGCAAAAAAAAACTTGGCGTGTGTGGAACATGATTTAGACTTTTTACGGTGAGTGTATATCATTCAATCCACCAGAACCTATTTGGAACCACTCACAATTTGCCCAAAATAGGATAACTTTTATATATACACAATTCTAGTTGACTATTATTCTAGTCTAATTTACTAGTAGTATTATAAATGTAAAAGTTTGGAAAATGGGTGGATGTTTTCATATAATTGCTGAATGGATCTGGTTTATCTTTGGAACATTATCCTGATTACATCCTAGAATAGAGTATAGGTGACTAAAGAAGTTATATAATAATAATAAAATAATTATTAAGTTATGGTTAATAAATTTTATAATTTGTTTTTTGTTTGTGATTTCAGCGATCAGTGGACAACTATAGAAGTAAATATGGCCAGAGTGTACAACTGGGATATAAAGAAGCGTCAAGCCGCTAAGGCATCTAGCCAATAAGTTGATTAAAGTGTTCAAGAGAACAAAACAGTCCTCACAACTGGAATTCTAATGTTAGGCTAAATTATTTTGTAACATGTTAATGAGATAAAATTTACTATTGAAGCTTTTCACCAGATCCACTATAAAGTCATGTTTGTGTAATGGTTTTGATTTGTTTATTTCATTTTGAAATATTAACAATAATTAATTGTATGTAAACTCAGTTATGCAGTTTCTATGTTATAACTCTGTTATATTATGCATGTTTAAAAGTGTTTTTATTTATCCATCTATACTTTAAATATTTCTAATAAAGATGTCGAAAGTTTGAAATGTATTTGTTTTATATTATTCCTCCAAGAACTTACATTTTGTTAAGAAAGGCAAACTCATTCAATCTAATTTGATTGAATTTCGGAATATAAAAGTGCATAAAATGTTTAATCTGTAGTTTTTAAACGTATCATATGTTTCGTCGTTGTGACAGATGTAGACGTGTGAATTGGTATGACATTGACATTTCTTGAAAGAAACTTTACACTTTCTTTTTTACATCAATGCGATTTTTTTTCTAAATAAAATTGTACTAGACCTAAAAAGAGCTAAGTAAAGGTAAGCACCATAAGCTTGTTAAAAAGAACTGATATTATTATTTAAATAGTATTGACGATACAACATTTTCAGTCTCTGATATGGCCCCTTCTACTGATTGGGATGAAATTAAACGGCTTGCAGCTGATTTCCAAAAGGCTCAATTAAGTTCGACATCTCAGAGGTAACTTTTAACTTTAATTATATTATACTTAAGTGTTTGAACACATACTTATCTCTGCCAATGCTGTTATAAACATGAGTTGTTCTCAGCTGTACAAGTTTTCCCCTTTTGTATTTGTATGAAATAAAACGAAAATATCTGTCTCGATTCAGGTTGTCGGAGCGAAATTGTGTTGAAATTGTTACAAAGCTAATAGAGCTTAAGTTAATTGATGTGATCTTCACAACAGATGGCAAAGAATATTTAACACCTCAACAGCTTATAAAGGAAATCAAAGATGAACTTTATGTACATGGTGGACGCATAAATACCGTTGATCTGGCTAAAGACCTAAATGTTGATTTAAGTCAAATTAATGCTAATATTGGTGAAATTATAAAAGGCAAAGAAGTCCAATTGGTGTCAGGATATTTGATAGCTCATTACTTTTTGGAAAAAATTGCTCAAGAAATCAATGAAAAACTTCAACTACAAGGCCATATCTCTGTAGGTGAATTAACATTGCAATATGATCTTCCTGCTGAGTTTTTACAAAATAATATATTGGAGCGATATTTGGGTAAAATAATTATAGGAAGACAGGACCCATCTGAAGCAAGAAACTTTTATACAGAACAGTATATAACTAGATTAAAAGCTAAAATCCGTGGTGCTTTAATGGGATTATTAAAACCTACACCAATAAATGTGATTGTCAGTCACTGTAACATGCCCGATAGACTATTTCTGTCATTATTTGATGAAATACATGCTCCAGGTGTACTAACGGGACGTCAAACAGGTGCACTTTATGTACCAACTTGTTACACAAAATCACAAAATGAATGGGTAATGAGTTTTTACAAGCAAAATAATTATCTTGAATATGATGCCCTGACACGATTGGGCATTTCAGATCCAAAAGGTTATGTTAAAAGAATTTTAGCAAATGAAGATTTAACATTTCTTGGTAGTTGTGTTATTGGTCTTCAAATAAAACAACAATTGGAGACAGCTTTGGAAGAATGTGTGGCATCAAAGAGTTATTTAGATGTTGTGTCTTTGTTACCTTCGGTATTATCAGATTCAGATATTGAAAATATTATTGAGACATTGCTTAAAACTAGTGCTAAATCTACTATTCTCTTTGATAATACAGGTAATTTTCTCCTACTATACTTTTAATACATAAATTCAGTGCTTTTGTTAAATACACATATTTTCTTACTTTTTTAACTTGTTAATAAAATAATTTAATGTTTTTAATGAAATGTCAGGGAAAAAACAGAATATTTTCTAATTATTTATCAATTAAATGTTCAATAATTAATAATTCAAACCTGTTTAGTTTTCAGCAACAGTTTCATAGAAAATTTGAAGAATTCTTGCATGCCTATGGTACAGAAGTTGGCCGAAGATGTTGTGAAATCGCAAAAATATCAACAGTTTTATATAGAGAAACAATTAGCTAAAACAGCAGATTTGTCATCCCAAACGCATGTTGACCATAAAGCTGAAAGACGTGAAGAACGGAGAAGAAAAGCTGCATCTGGGAAAGGTGGCGGAGGCACTCAGGGTCGAGAAACTAAAACGAAAGCTGTAAAGAAACATCAAAGGTCCAAACAAGTTACGCATGATTCAGACTCAGATGAAGCATCAAATGCCAACAAAAAAGCTCCTACTCAACTTGAAATAGTGTCCGTTGAAAACATTGAAGAAGTTATTAAAGAAGCATTGGAAAATGAGGGTCTTGACGATTTAACAAATCAAATTGCTGAATATTTACAAGGGTACATAGTTTTCTATTTTTGTATGATATTGCTTTCTTTTGTAATAACAAAATGATACACACATTTAGAACTAATCTATTCCGTCTTATTTTGACAGTAATCATATAATCAAAGTTAAAATTATCTTACTCGTTTTATTTGTTTAATTAGTAATTACAACTAATTACACTAATTATTTTGCAGATGTTTAAACCAAACAGCATTAGCAATAGCAAAGGAAATGGCTGAGAAATTGCTTCAAGATGCTAACCAAAATAGAAAACAAACACATTCATCAGCTCAAGACAGAATTAATGTTCTTGTTAATGACATTAAATTGTATGAAAAGGGTCTGAAAATGTTACCTTCCGATCAACAACCTCAGTATATAAAATACTTGTTAAAAACATTTGGTGGGGATACTTTAGCTGAATTTTGTAAATATGCAGCGAATCAATGCAACTTGTCTTTCAAAGGCGATGTTCTTACTGTTGAACAAAGAAATAAAATTATTAATGATTTATCTGACGAGTATATGAAGCCATTAAAGGCTCTAAATGCCACATTGACAGATCAGAACATGGAATTATTTTATCAAGCTGTTGATGTATGTTTATCGGAATGTGGCATGATATTAAAGAAAGTGGACAAAAAGAAAGATAAGTATGTCTGTTCTTTGCTGCATGCCTATTTTAATGTTTAATATTTTGATAACTATCTAATTTTTTTATTTTTTCAGACTTCTAGTACAAAATCATAGGGAAAAATTAATTGCAGAGCTAGAAAATTGTAGTGATCCAGCATTGGTGTTGCATTTGTCCGTGTTGGCAATATTTACAATAGTAACACAGAACATGCTTCATGCATCCGGTCGACAAGTACCATTAATTATACTTTTCTTAAAATCCCATCTCAAAGGCGAAGATTTTGAAAGAATACAACAATACCATGGTAAATTTTTTTCACATTATTTTTAAATGTACAAAAGAATTAGATAATGATATTTTTCTAACCAGACAAGTTTGTTTGCTCTATGTCATTGTGTTAATTAACTATTTGATACATTTCAGATTTGGTTTCCAAATATTTGACAGCTAATGAAGATGATGAGAAAGTACAAGCTGAAGATAAACTAAAAGAAGAAATGCCTTCAATTAAGCTTCTAGTCAGTGAAGTAAAAAAGAATAAATTAAACTGATTTGTTGAAACCGAACCAATTATTTAATACACTGGTGTTTTGGAAATAAATACAATTATTATAACGATTTGATTTAATTTATAGCTTTTGTTTTATGCCTTATCTTACTTCCTTGTGAACATCTTTGAATTGGTGAATAGAACGAGACAATAGAAAGAACGGACCTAGGCGTCGTGTAAAACGTGCATAGTGTTTTTGGCACTAGAATACTAGATTATGATTATATAGCTCTTAGTAGAGAAAGCAGTCGACCTCTACCCTAAACTTTGCCCTTGAAATAACATAATAGGTTTAGAACCTGAGCAAAATTTAGGATCATAGACAAAGATTTATATGGTATAACATGAACCGTTTTACGTCGTTTTCACACAGATTCTTGTTGATATTATTTACTCCGTGTATTTTTAGCTATACTTTCAATGTTATGAATGTAAAAACGTATCGTATTTTTATAGTATTCGCCATTCACCAGTTCACTGGCAATAGCATGGCACAATACAGAACACGTTTCGCATTCAGTTGTTCAAAGTAAGCCGTAAACGTGGGTTAAATTATTTCTAGTTATTAACGTAGGTTAACGTAACGCAGAACGCAGACCAGACCAGACGGAGACGGACGCAATACGCTACAGCTACGCAGTGCGATAGATGTTTCAGTGTTAGAAGGTTGTGTTCGGTATTGTACGGTGAAAACAAATAGATTAAAAACATAGTGCCTAATTTGGGTGTTATGAAGTGCTAAACAATTGTTTTTTAATGAAGTTTTAGATTAACCACGTGTTGAAAACGTCGCGCATCTGTTTTTTTTGAGCAAAAATGCAATACCGTCTAATATTGCACACAAAACTAGCCTCGTGCGTTCTGTAGTAACAATCACTGCATCGATTGAATTGATGAACATTTATTTATCAACATCAAACAACAAACATGAAGACAGAACCTAAAGAGGACACTGATTTATTAGGCATAAACAAGAATAATGTTTTAAATATCGGCACTGACACGACAACGAAACGGATTGAAGATTATCAAGGTCCGCCTGATGGTGGTTTTAGGGCCTATTTGATTGTGTTGGGATCATTTTTGACCAATGGTCTATTGTTCGGAGTTATCAATTCTTATAGTGTAATTTATACTGTACTGCAAAAACGACTAGAAATTGAAAATGTGCCAAATTCGGAGAGTAAAGCATGTAAGTTAATGTTTCTTATATTACTATTAGTAACTTTAGCAACAATAAAACTTAACGAAAAGCTACGAATATTAGTAAAAATATAGTCAAAATATACAATCTAGTATTTTTAGTATACCTACGGTAATACATCAACCTGTTTACTTTAAGTAAATATTTTACAAAATGGTATAATTGACAAATTTAAGTAATAAACAGTATGTAGACAAATGTAATCATGAGGTTGTACCCATTTCTTAATTTGTTTTTTTTTTATACATATATCTACCTATTTATTTAAATTGCACGTGTTTGGTTATGTAAAGGACGTTAAACTTGCGATGGCACGGTGTCGGCAAAAGTTTTATAAAGGTGTACTACCAAACTAACTTATAATTTACAGTTGCAAAAACCCGTTACTACATACCGACAGAGAAGCAACCGCACATTAGAAGCTTTTTGTTAATATTTTGATCATTATCTTCAAACGGTGGTTCTAATTAAAATTTTGTACTGACAATGAAGCAGTCTTAAGGCTCTTCATGCACTAGTAGAGCCCACAAATCAGACAAGTCAGGTCGACCAATAAAATACTACTTCACGGAGGCAATAAGTGATAAGTTAAGTTCTGGAGGCCCAAAGATAAATGTCCTCTTTTCTGCACATCACTTCTGCCATTAAAGGACGATAAAAAGATAGTATGCAATTTTTCCTATTACCTCTGGCATGTCTATAGGTAGCAGTCATATCGTTTATTAATGATAGGAAGTAACCACACTTGAAAGTGCGGCCCAAGGGCTCAAAGCGCCGGACGGTAAAATTGTCTTAAATCAGATTCATGAAATCTTTTTCCGTAGATCCCTTAAAATATATTGGTATCGGTATTACACCGGAAATTCATGAGAAAATATTCGACCAACAAATTGATCCAAGTAAATATCACTTAAATTGTCTCTAATATCACTAATATTGCTAAAAGAAAAATCTTCTAGGTATTCAAATATTGAGATCTCATAGCAAAACATTTAAATATTGTATCGTCTTAATAGTAATTGATAAAAGAAAAATAATTCATATAATGATGATTGTGCTGTCAATTAAATGAAGGATAACTGCTTTGGCCTGCTCTCATTATGGTCATTTAAATTATTATCAAGTAATAAATTATTTAAATATTTGTATCGGCATATGAGGTTATCGTGAATAGGGAACGTGGGGTTGTCATACTGAAACGTGAGTCAAGCGGGCGACTGACTAAATATAATGTTACGTGGGTGTGGTGGTGTTGACCGACATAATTATGATTACATGAACCATTTCATTTTATATAGGCCGTATCTCATTTCACATCAATAAATGTTTACTGTTATAAGGTAAATTTCTTCTATACCTGATAAAAATGACTAGGAAATTGAGTTAACGGACTAAAAGCATCCTTGAACTAAACACTTTATTTGTAGCGCATTAGTCTAAACATATCTTTTTTTAAATCCTGAAGCTTCGAGAAACTAATAAACAGGATTAATTTTATCTTGTGGTGGACTAAGATGCCGCAAATAGAAAGCTCATTTTAACTAGCTGACCATACTAAAAATAGATGATGTAGGCTTAACAATAATTGTTATTTGATCATCTGGCGCCAGACATCGCGCGCTCTGCGGTCGATCGCGACGAAGGCCGTCTGATTGCATCAATATACTAACTGTAGACGCAAAATAATTGCTACTATTTGTCGCATCAACTTACAATATCATTGTTACTATTCCTTTTGATTGTTTCTATTAGACGCTGACTATGTTTGACGAATCTAACCAGCTATGTATCACAATTTCGTTGAACTTCAATAATTCTACTAATTTAAAAATAAACAGTGGTCATAGGCATAGATTAGGCAAGCCAAAAGAAAATAAATGATTGGCATTAGTAATAACGCACAATAGGCAAATTGAAATAATGTTATCAAGATAGCATATGCAGCTGTTTTGTTTCTTGTGAAACTTTTATTTGTTGAGATGTTCAATAAAATCGTTACTATTTTGATTTACACATTGATTTTGTATTCGATATATTTCACATCTTACTGATGACTCCCGTTATTTTACGATTTGTAAAAATCATTTGTAATTGGGGTACTGTCACCACTCCTTCCTTTTTTCACTTCAAACGCATCGGTATGAATTGATTACGCGACACAAGTTGAGTTGAATATTACAATCAAATGCTCTGGGAAAAAAGTACTTTTAAACGACCTAACAATTTGTATAAATTTTGTCGTCATTGATATCATGTTCATTTCTTTTCTCTTTGCGTCATAAAAGCAAGAAACCATTGTATTTATTAATTTTGTAATAGTAATTACAAATAATAATTTCTCAATTTATGAACGTGACTACATATATTTTAGCGTCTTAATCTATTATCTTATTTTACGTAACAATTATAATAAATGATTTAAGCCGTAGTAGCTTGATTTTACTGTGGCATATTTTAAACTGAGTTCTACCACCTTGCGAACTGTTAGATAGAAGATGTTTAGAAGAACTTGAAGATGTTATTTTATTTCCATTTAAAAAAACACGTTTGGTACTACTAAGTTATTTGTATGGTAAATACTATGTACTAAAGAATTCTTATCAAATGATGTCATAATCTATCATCTTTATCTACGTTGAATCAAACAATCAATTGATTATCATATTTTTTTATTATTAGGCCCGTATTGCGCCATAAATACGAAAGATTTTAAGACACTACGCAAAGATAAACTGTAAAATTCAAATTTTAAATAGTAAAATTATGCGCAATAATGTGTTTCCGCAAATCATGACGACGACGTCAAAAAAATAGTTTTATCACTGACTACCACCCGCGCCTTCGTTTAAGTAGATAAAACTATTAAGGAGTCCTAAATTATGACTTAACTTATCATTGCCAAAATTAATAATTTAGACGTAAAAAGGTAAACTAAGTTAAATTTTGATTACAACACACAAAAAAACACGTACTCTGCGACAACATTCTCAGCCTTTCCTTTCTCGCTCTCTCTCTCCGGATCGTTTCCTCATTCCTAAGGGTCGCGACCACTCTCTTAGACAATCTCGAAGAGTGTTTCTCCACTCTGTGCGATTCTCTGCGACGTGTATAGCGTTATGAATAGTTGTAGTCAAGTCTTTCCTACTCGACTACAATTTATGATTTAAAATTTCTCGCCATATAGAATTTTATGTTATTAGGTTATCAAGTCACATTCTGCGAACTGATATATCATAAGAATGACAATGTACAACGGACAATTCGGTCTATAGATATTCAATGTATGATAAACCAGTTAATAATACGAAGACGTATCTCCTGAGCGTACTGACCCGATTAGATTAACAGACATTGTGTGCCACTTGTCATTTATGTGAGTGCTACAAATTTAGCATTTCGGCCGGCCTAACTAGGTAAACGTCTAGATTGCTTATTCCGGTAATTACATTCACTTTATGATCCCTATTTAACTTGTCCTGGAATCGCAGAAACTTTTTCTCAACACTTCTAGCAGTACATTTATCATGACAAATCTGCTTTTGTCAATATATTCATTTCTCCAAAAGTATGTCGAGGCAACCCAGTTTCTATTCCTGACAATCTCATTAGAGCTATACTATAGACGTGAGTTCAAAAATTTACACCTGTAAAATTAAAGCGGTAAAAGTATGATGAAATATTTATTAGAGTTTACATGTAATAGTTGCGTCATGACATTGAATAACTGTCGATATAAACGATAGTTGTGTGACGATTCGACAAACTTTGCATATAAATTACTTTCGTGGAAACTTGACCTCTGTCTACATTTTACAACTTCTAGCCGATATAACCAGTTTAAAATTACATTTAGAATGAGGCGAAAATTAGTTTAAATGCCTTTTAAGATCGGAGTCAGAGAATTTAAACACTTTAATCTATATAAGTCTTGACGTGCCTGTGATACCAGTACTTTTTTAAAAAACATTGTAGAGAAAACCTTAACTATATCATACTTTGTTCTACAAGTTCTACAAGTCATTTCTCAAAACAGCTCTCTTTTACGATTAGTTTATTACTCGCTAAATTGTTTTTACTTTATCTACCGCCATCTTTATGCAGGTTTTTAGTAAATAATAAAAAAGAAGTAGGATATGTCAAAATAAATAATCCACTATCTTTGTTTCAGCTTTGGTGGGCGCTCTCACAATGGGTACGACATTTTTCCTGTCTCCGCTGTCAGGTTTACTGACTGCCTTTTTTGGTCTACGAGCGACTGCAGTCTTGGGCGGCAGCATCGCTACAGCCGGATTGCTTTTATCATCATTTGTTGTGAACGAAGTCAATGCGCTCTACTTCACATATGGCTTGATGTACGGTGTAGGAGCATCACTAGCTTACACGCCATCACTAGCTATCCTCGGTCATTACTTCAAGAAATACTTAGGACTAGTTAATGGTATAGTTACTATAGGAAGCTCAGTGTTTACCGTCATAATGCCTCCGTTATTAGAACATATCATAAAGAACTACGGCTTGGAATGGATGTTCAGAGTTCTAGCCTTCTTTACAGTGGGCATTATGCTTTGCGGTTTACTATTCAAACCGACTCCATTAATGATAATACAGAAACCTTCTCATAAACATGACAATGTTAAATCTTTATTAAAAACTATCGTAACCGTTCAAATTTGGAAAAATAGTAAATATAGATTATGGGCTCTTTCGATGCCGGTGGCGTTGTTTGGTTATTTCGTGCCGTACGTTCACATAAAGAAATTCATTGAAGAGACCTTCACAGGTGTCAATGATAATCTTCCTTTGCAATGCTTGGCGATCACATCAGGGTTGGGTCGTTTGACTTTTGGATTCCTGGCAGATAAACGGGGAATCAATCGGATTTTGCTACAGCAGATCTCATTCTATGTGATCGGAGCTCTTACAATTATTTTACCGTTCGTAAAATCGTTTAGTCTGTTAGTGGCGATTTCCTTAGGAATGGGCTTGTTCGACGGTGCATTTATTGCACTGATAGGTCCGATAGCATTTGAACTGTGCGGCGCGACACATGCAGCTCAAGCGATCGGTTGCATGCTAGGGTTGGCTGCCCCGCCTTTGTCTGTCGGACCTCCCATTGCAGGCTACATTAGAAGTATAACGAAGTCTTACAAAATACCATTCATCCTAGCTGGAATCTCGCCATTAGTCGGCGCTACCGTCATGTTCAGCGTTCATTATCAACGACGTAATTCAAGCCGAACTGAATCTAATGCAAACGGACACGCATATTCACCTCCTACAGATATTGGTAAGTTTATGAACTTATTAACGAACTTATTTTAAATCTAAAATTTAAAACTAACATTCATATATCACTAGTGGCTATATTTCCTTGTAGAGAATACGTTTTATTGTTTTGATTTTTAAAACTTCATTGTTGGCGTCAGACGTTAGTGTACACCACGAGTACTTATTAAAACACAGTTCTATTGTAATATGCTATGAACAATAAGTATTGCAAGAAAGAAACATTAAGCAATAATTCCATGTAACTGTTCACAATAATTTTGATCTAAAAGAAAATGTATGAAACATAATATATAGGAATTATAAATCTATCAACTGTTTCTTCAACATTAAAAATATTAATTTGTTTTTTCACGTTTCAGAAACAAATCCCACGTCAATCTCGAGCTCAAATGGCAAGATAAATCACCAAACGGCGTTATAACATTTAATTCTAATGCAAAATAGTTGAGAATGTATTTGTTAAGAAATGAATTATTTTAAAATGTGTGTGATAGTGAGATGCGAAGCTTTTATTATTCCCTAAGTGACGAAAGATACTGCCTATATTTACTGCATTTTGTTTGTATTTTCCTTTTTTACAATGTTATTCTGTTTAATACAGTTACCTATGCAAGTTCCTAATTTAGGTTTATTTAAAGAATAAAATGTTATTTATAATATTAATTATTTCTTGTTACTACTGCAATCATTCGAATCTCTATGTTTATGTTCCTATGGATGCAATACTTTTTAATTATGTATGTGTGCTTGATTAAGAAAATATTTCATTGCTAACGTCTTAATCCAAAACATTTGTAGAAGTTTGAAGTCCGATAAAAGTTAAATCGTATCGTATCGACCTAAATCTTGTAAACAATTGATATTTCTTTTTAAAAAAATCTAAGTTTTTATGGAGACAATGCCTGAAACATTCTTTTTTTGGACTTTTTATTTTTAAATCTTATGAATTTTTCCTACCATTTTTATTCCCTATTACTTACTTTCATAAGACTTCGTTTGCTGTTGTTTTATGTCATTCCTTTTCTATGATATTTTTTCTATTGTTTTTACACTTTATACCAAAGCAAAATCAGGATAAACATTGAAAAAAATATTTACTGTTTATAACCCGGATTATTAACAGTTATTCAATTAGTGTTTCTTAAATATAATTATTTTAATTACTAAAGAAAACCAGATTTATAATGACTCAAGGTGACCTAGATAAACTTGTTTACACCAATAAAAGTATATCTTATCTCTATTTGTTATAACTTCCGCATTGTATAGATAGGAACAAATTACTTGCAGCCGATAGCTGTTTAATTTCATCTCTGCTTATTACTTAGTTAATCTATGATAATACAATGTAACCTAAATCATAGCTAACACAAACATTTATTTCATATTTTATCATTTTTGCGCTATCGTGTTTCAGTTATCAGGTCTCGTTGATATTGTAATAATATTGTGCAGTTTTTTTTTATCAGACTGTTGTAAATTTATACTGGATTGCTTTTACATTTCTTTGTTTTTCTTGCGGCATGCAAGATAACATCAATTTGCCAATTTATTCTATCACGACAAAGGCGATACTCTGATTTCAACCAGTCTTTATCTACATCAGTTGCAAAAGCTGTCATTATAAATGGTCGCTACAACTCTGCGAAGTATCATCACATAACACTATTAACCCCCTTCTCCCCTACTAGTCATGGTATAGAAATCTTGCCCGGGGCGCTGGTAAGCTGGACCCGGCACTGCCAATGACTTAGTAACATCCACGTTTTTAACATTAGAAACCATGTTTACATTTAACAATACGTGGATACTTTTACAATGTCTCATGTATGTATAGTAAAATGTTGCTTGCTGTATATTATTGTAATTAATAACAAAACGATCGAGTTTCTTTGACGTCAATACCATGTTTACGCAATCGGTTTTGTTTTGTTGCGTTCTAGCAGAAATTAGAAATAATCATATTGCCTACATTTGTTTGTAGTTATTGTAATAATAATACACTGGGCATAAAAATACATTTATTGATTACTTGTCGAAATATCTATCTTATGATTCCACGTTTGTCTAAGTTTTAGTTATGTAAGAGGTGAAAAAAAAGTATGAAGTGTTTTTTCTCTTATAATTCTAATATCCTAAAGATCAGCTAAATATTCCAGAATCAGATTAAGAAATGTTTTTTTTACATAAATAACGTATGTGAAAAAATTCATTTAGTCATAGTCAATACGTCAATTACCTTTGAATTTATATTTATGTATGTACATGTATGAGATTAAAATATTTTGTTAACATATTGCTACGTACGCCTTAATATTTATGTATATTGTCATTTAAACAAAATCCTATTATTCCTAAAATAATGCAAATATTGTAAATTATGCATATATTTAATGTCAAAAACAGCTGTGATAATCCGTGTTATTGTGGTTATTGTTGCATATTGTTTAAAAAAACGCTATTGAATTTTACGCGCATTTTTCCTCGCTCGCAGCTGTTCCTTTATAATTTAACTTCGATAATTTTAATCATAGTTTATGTTCTTATAATCTATGATATTTCTACTATTGTATATAACATGTTGATGTCAATTTGTCAATTACTTTGTCTATATTAGTCAAAGTCAAAGCTCTACAGACCATAATGCGTTGTTCGATACTTCGCTCATTTCAATTATTTTGAAATTGTAATTTAGCATTATTATTCTTGAAACGTTATTCTTCAAGCGCTATTTTTTTTAATAATTGTGATTAATTCTTAAAGGTTAGTTTTTAAATTACTATTTTTAATTAAGAATAGTGTTTAAGCTCAAAATGTTATTTTTTGTACAATTCTATCTAATACGATTTGTGGCGTTTTATTGTTCAGGCATTTATAGGCAAAATAATCTGGCATTCAAGGTAATGAAACAAAGGCAACTTG